CAGTATATAATTTTTATACCACTTCGTTGATATCGTAGGATTGAGAATGAAATTATTCATAATTATATGTCCAGTTGTAACTAATTCGGATAGGTGATTCCAGAGCTCCAGTAAAAAGCCATATTCAATGGCATTCACTCATTTTGTACGTCATCACGGAGTAGTGGAATCAGGTAATTCACACCATAAGACACCAAGTTAGTTTTTTAGAATTTAAGCACCGACAGCGATTCCTGAGGGTCCTAGGTGTGGTTGTTAAGTGAGGTCATTGATGTATATTTCTGGAAAACCCCATACTAGGGTGAGACAACTGTCCAATGCTTTCTGGTTTCTAATGTGTATCCTTCTAATATCTATCGGTGATATATATTACACAAAATAGTTCGATCAACTAAGAATACAAGTTCCTAACCAATAAAAACATGCTTAGATTTAACTAAACAGTTTAAAATATGATCAAGTGTGACACTGATATCCTCGATAAACTTGTATTAATACCTGTGTTGTTTCTAATCATGCTTAACTCAATAAGGTTAAAAAGGTCTGACTACAGCATCTCTCATCTCATTGGCAGAAATTTCCGGAGATACACTTTGCTCATTGATCAGGTATGACTAATCCCATATTTAACCACTTCTCATACTTTATCTAAGTATGAGGCTGAATAGATTAGTTAGCTGTCTGATTGGCTACTTTCTCTGTCAAAGAAATAACCTCAATGAATGTAAAACGTTCAGTTGAAAACACTTAATTACATGGACTTCTTTTCTGAAAGTTACGAAGACTTACATTAAATCTAAAACTTTAATGTCAGTAACTAGGTTTACGTGTATTGAAATACAATCTGCCGCTCAGTTACTGAACTCCAGTACTCATCATCATTATACATTCTTGATCTTCTTGAGAACTGAAAACAGAACTTTTAAATTTCGTCAAAAGTACTTTTTTTAAACTACCAGTGATTCGGAAGTCAATGGTTTACATGTCTTAAAACCTACTTCTGATCTCAAGTTATTGATAATCATATTCAAATAAACTCAATGTTACAATTACACTATCAATCACGAAGTTACTGACTGATCGGTCATTGAGTAGTGACTGAGTAGTAACCAGATGATAAGGCTTGAGTCCAAAGAAAAACATTATTTCCATCAAGATTGCAGATACGCTTTGTTGACAAGTGTCAAGTGATATGAAAAACAGGTCTAGTATTACTGATCACAAAGAACGTGTCCAAGTAGGAGTAGTATACTGATTTCCTTAAATCATCTCTGACAGAGAAAGTTTTATTGATACACTAATAATTTTTCCTTGATATTATCGTCGAAACTACCTTATTGGAATAAATAACAACGTCAGTAATGAAAAACTTAAAACATCAGGTTAATTAGCAAACGTTATATGATTCAGCAACGACTTCGTCATAGGATTTTAATGAGTACCATTGCCATTTTTATCATTTTAGCAATAGCCCTCCATATTTCGATTAAAACAATATGGTTAGTGTGAAACATCCAGATTTCATTTCATTTGTTACTTTGACCTCTACTCATCGTTCTATCATATAAAGCAATGTAGCGTAATACTCATTTAAGGAATAAATCATATTTATTAGTCATTATGTAATCACCATTATAGGATAGCAGTTGGTAGGTCAAACCAAGAATTATTGTTACATAGGCAGTCAATCAAAATCAAAGAGTATCGGCTAAATGTTTCTTCCTAGTACAGAACTTCACAGTAGTGTTCATCGATAATTCAAATTCAGATTTGATAAAAAAACATTCATATCTCATGGTGAAATTATTACGACTAAACGACTGGGTTTTCTCTGAATAGTTCTCATTTCCAAATTCAATTCATTTGTCATAATCCATGATCACTGATCTGTGATACTCATTTCATGTACTGATGATGAACTTTGAAGTTCTAGTGATGAATCATTAATGTCAAAATTCAGGTACGATATAGATATCATTGGTTGTCATGTATCTATGTAGAAACTTCATAACACACCATGAGTGTACAACTACCTAATCCAATAGCGTTTTGGAAAGTATAATTTAAGACACCTAGATGTATCGTTTCGATCCGATTAATTATTTTGTACCAATCCCAATGACTAATTATGAAGTTCTATCCATGTACGATTTCTAACTTTGTGTGAATATTTTGATATCTATCTATCCATTTCATGTCACTAATTGTTTGTAAACACGTACACCTACTCATCAGTTTATTCAAAGATTAGTTATTACATCAAGCTACACACTGTATGACTGATCTTTATATCAAACCTTATAAGCATACAATTCTACGCACATACACACGTTTTACAGCATTTCTTACCTTAAACATCTAATTTACTTGTTACAATGTTTGAAATATATCCATTCTCAAAATACCTCTCATAGGATATTTAATATCACGTTTCTGATTGAGCTCATGGACCGATTGATGTTAGACCACCATTGAAAACCTGAAAGCACTGGATGGCTGTTTCGCCCTATTGTGATACTTCTCACCAGTGCGTATCTACGATCCCACTCGCTTAACCTCTAGACCACTGAGTGGGCATCCAACAGTGTTAATGTTTAACCTCAACCAACCCATGAAATTCCGCAACAATCTTCCTGCGTTCAGATCTCGCGAGGCGGGATCGTAGATGCGTGCTGCTTTAGAGTCTCAGAATATCACGAAATGACCGTTCAGTGCTTTCAAGTTTTCAATGGTGGTCTAATATCAATCGGTTCATGATCTCAAACAAAAATTTAATAATCTCAACAACCCTATACTGATAATATCGCATCGTTCGCATCTGTAAACGTTTCATGAAATTATCCATAATACTTATAAGAATAGATAGTCTGGTTATATTTTTATCAAAGTATGAAATTTTGATATATTATGATCCACGAATACATTATGTTTTTTTATCAGGAGGGGTTTTGTGGAGATTTTAGAAATTTCACTGGTTGAAATCATGAGTCAATTGAAGCTAGACCACCATGGAAATCCTGGAGGCACTGGACGGCCAACTCGTCCTAGTATGGGACTCCTCATCAGTGCGCACCTATGACCTAGACCCCTGCGAGATTCGAACCCAGCACCTACTAGTTTCGCGCGCGAGCACTTAACCACTAGACCACTGAGCCGGCATCCAACGGTGTCAATGTCTAACTTCAGCCAATCCACGAAGTTGCGCCACCGTACATCATTGTCTTCAGTGAGTTGATATCTCACAACCCACCTGATTGAACTCCACGGATGACGGCTTCTCACTAGAACTCCAGGAGTATCTCTTGAAGTCAGTCACTAGGTTTTCCATGATGGTCTAGCTTCAATTGACTCATGATTTCAACCAGTGACATGTTTTTATCAGAAATCAAATAACATTTATGAAGATATATGTATATTATAGTTTGAAATTATCAAGTTAGTGTTGCGTAACAACTTGTTTACAAATAATTTTAAAAAAAACTACAATAAGGTATTAAAACAAACTTTTTTTAAAAACACACACATTATAGTCTTCGTAGTTTATGTAAATAATAAACAACCTAACAATTATAAACTTATTCATATAAATAAACATCACTGTTAATCTTGCTCCAGTTACTATGGTAACCGTCACATAACAATTAACACTTCAGTCTCATAATGTGAATAACAATAGTTTGTTGCACTTTTATTCATCTACATTACACTATTGTTACAATTTTTTGAAAACTATTGTCAGTGTTGACAAATATTTTAGAAGTTAATATTGTATAATTTAAGGACTACATTTGAGAGATACAAAAGTGACCTTGAGCAACTTCAAATATTTACTAGGTTCGAAATAAGATTACAAATTAGTTCCAGGAAATAAGATTAAGACTTAAGGTTTTCACTACGAATTGACACCAGTTATAATACTAGAATTCTATTTATCCATATGGATAAATGAGTTTCGTGCAAGAATTCGAGAGTTGCTGATCTAAATCTGGTTGGTATGATCATAAACTATGGTTGTGTCAAAGACAAAACCACAAACAGCCCATAAAAGATCTCTTTATCTTTCTAAATATCTCCTAACGAGATGAATAGATAAATTATAAAGGGCGGTCTACTTGAGCATCTGGGCTACCTGTTCCTGCCATCTACATATTTCAACAAGTTATCTATTTTTGTTTGTTTTAATGTATCATTATGTTTATTAATCGCATGACCTATCCTGGTGCATTTCTGAAAAGCATACAACCTTTCGTTGTCAAAGTTACAAAAAACTCAATAAGAGACAATGTGGTTGCTGGCAATATACAACGAAAAGCATGTACATTATTCAGATGTTCATTTACTGAACCGCTAACATCTAACTGGCGATCACTCAATATTTATCGCCAGGACCGACCAAGAAGAAAAAAACGGAAACTTGTTGAAATACTTTGTGCTCAGAATTCTATATTGTACCAAAAATATAATATTGAATAAAGCTAATAATAATGATAATAATAATATAATCACGATTTATCCGGGAGTCCCATTCTAGAACGAAAAGACTGTACAGTGCTTCCAAGTTTTCAATAGTGGTCTAACATTGATGGATTCATGTTTTTCAATGTTATTCAGAAATGTTTGGATAAAGTTCATTATATGTACTCAGCTCTCAACTAGACTAGCCAGCTATGTATATTATGCAATGACTGAGGTTAAACCGAAATTTATTAAGATATTTTGCACATCATTAGAAATTCTCAGTGGCATGAACAATAACCTGTAATTAAAAAAAATTGGGCAAATGTTTAACTGGTATTCATAATTTTCTTATAACATTTCTGTGATATATAAATTTCGAAATATTCATTATTGTGTCAAAAATGTAGGACACTACTAACTTTTTTATAAGTAGTTAATAAGAAGTTTAGCAAATGTTTAGCATATTATGCCAAATTAAATGTATTAAAAATCTAACTCTACGCGATTAAAACTACTGATAAATTCGAAATAAAAATACGTACCAATTCGAAAACTGAACCCGAAAAACTAAAATGATTTGTTAGTATTGCCCCTAGTACGAATCATACTCTGGAATAGGCTTCTCTAGGGATTTTCGTGCATATATATCACTTGTTCCAAGTGGTACTTTGGACTATTTGAATGGAAAAAAAGAAAAGCAACGATTGGTTGAACTAACTAACTAACTGTTCTGTGATTGAATAATAATATAAATGAATTGACCAAAAGTTTCTTATGACACCAACTGATTTGTTTATTATTAGTGATTCTTCAGATGACCCTTGCAGATGTGTGAAGTCTATTGGTAAGGCCGATTAGCCTATCCGAATATTTTGTTTTCTGTTTACTCAGTAGCACAACTACTGAATTGGAATAGTAATTTTTATGGAACACTGGCAATACCTGGGGACATTTTTTTACCAGTTTACGCTGTATGCATACCAGATATACACAATTCCAGGACCCAGAAATTCCATAGTATACACATAGGTATAAATGCTGTATACTCAGGTACCGTTGGTGAATACCGTGAGGGAAGAAGCTTTAGTCCGTGTTTCGTTAAGAGTATTAGGCTAAACTGATCTCTATCCAGTCAACCGCGCCATTTTTCGTAACATGTCCCTTAAGTAACCCCAGAGCTGCGTCGTAAAGATGTGTTGGCCTTTAGCTAGGTAGTTCGTTCCCAACTAATAAAAAGAGAACATAATGTACCTGTCTTAAATAATAGATTACATAAGTGAATTAGTACCACTGAATTGGTTTCTATAGTAAACAAGTACTAGAAATACGTAAATTCTGTCCATAGACATTACAATCCATGCAAATATGAATAGTGTTTGACGTCTGTTAATGCATTGCTTTCAAAAATTGTTATTTCTGACAACTATCAACTTTATTCTTAGCTGAAGATCCCATCTTAAACTCTCAGCCACTAATATTGACATATCGGTTCACCAAAATATATTGTTAATAGGTAAGAGAAGTGAATTAAAAGGTTTAGTATTTAACTTCCACTAATACCTCAGTTATTATTTGAATATTTTAATACCTGAAGAGCGATAAAAATGCTAATTGAGAAAGGACTAATTTCTACTATAAAAACACAAAGAATCCTTAGGAAATTTGAACCATCGAGTCATCTGCCACTGTTCAGTTTCATAGTAGTGTATGTGATTCTCACATGAGCTTGAAGTTAGACAATCAAATGTATTTCTTAAAAATAAAATGTAACTATCTAATGCTTCCCAAAAAGCCTAACGAAGGCTCAATAGCACAAAAAGTAAAAACTTTGTGTCGATAGATCAGCAATAAACAGTATGTGCTCAATTATAAAATGTTGTACAGTGGCCAGTTAAATGAAAGCTATCATTGAACTGTTTTACAGATTTAATTTCCATCTTATTTTGAACTGGTGAGTTGAATACATTCCAAGATTCAGGTACATCCAGCTGAAGAGTCCTGAATAGGATGAAACGCACATCCTAAATCCCATTGCTAAAAAATTCGATTTATTCTATATAAACTTGTAACCTATAGATGTTATCTAAAAAGATAGTCAGAATACTTTGAGAACAATTTCTGCTTATAATTGGTTTCAGTTGAATCTATTGAAATTATCTAGCCAAAAGTATGTTTTAGTAGCAAAACTAACCTTTTAATTGAACATAATGAAAGAGAACTACCCTTACTGTGAGAGAGAGCAAACCAGCTTCCAGATGAAGAGGAAATTAGGGACTGACGCTTAAAGTAAATATCACATACATTGTGGAAATTATCAAACTACATCACGAGACAAAGGCTAACTTGGAATCCTCGAAGTAAAATGAAAAAAGGCAAACCAAAGAACACGTTGTGCCGGGAACTGAAGGCATACATTAAAAGAATGAATAGCAACTGGAACCAACTGGAAAGGATTTTCCAGGAGAGAGTCCGATGGCCAATGTTTCTCGATGAGGAGTAACAAGAGTACGTAAGTAAGTACCTGACAAATTAATCGCTTCCAGAATGTAATCAGTGATTTATCAGTATCGGTGTGACAGTTACACTGAATTGTTAATAATTCAATTTGTTTGAAACAATAGAACTATTCATTTTATTACATATGATTAACTGCTATTAGTCATCATAAGTGTTAAAGCCAACGAATCTACAATCTCATTTCTTCTTTAAAATATCAATAACCAGAAGATTTAGAAGACTCTCGATATTCCTGAGAATCTAAATTATTCCGAATAATAATCTTACCATCCTATAATCTCTAAAACTACTAATTGAAACAATAACTTAGAACCCTTATTCCATGATGGAATAATGATGGTGTTCAATTAATCATATGACCAGAGAAATTTTGTCTGAGAGTATTTTAAAAAAAGCTGTTCATTGATCAAGCTTTCTAGCTGAATCTAGTTTCTCCAAGACTTTAAATTTCGAATCCACTATGATGAGGTATGTACATCAAGCGTAAAGCGTTAACTCATTTGAATCTTCCTGTTAATCTTATGGATTAAAATCAATTTCTTCAAACATATGTGTATCCTGTGTGGGCTGCCTTAATATTGACATTAAATCTTTAGCGTTTCAAGTAAAATTGGATGATGGTTAGCAGTGTACATAAAGGCGCGGTACAAACAACAACACTTAGGTTCAGGTACACTCAGCTGACAAGTCCTAAGTAGGATGAACCACGCGTCGTGTATTTCACTGCTAGTTGCCATCCAACTCTACTTTAGAAGCTAAAGTTTTAATATTAAAAGTGAATTTAAATTTAGAAGTATTAGTATAAACTTCTTACGGCATATAGTTCTAATTTTGACTAAATTAAAACGTTAATTATTAATACAAAAGAGGTGAGATATTAAAAAGTTTATAGTAATCGGAGTGATATACTGAATTTATGTACCAGCCAACCCAAAATAAGTCTAACCTATTTATGATATAATTCAGACTTTTTTTATTTGAGAATTACAATGTATCATCTTAATCCCGATTGTCTTGTATATCGCCCCCTTTTTTTCTATGTTGATTTTTATTAACTCTTTTCATGAACGACCATTGAACGGTGCTAAAGTGACTTTGAGGATATCCACATACTAACTAGGACGAAGGTTATAAGTTAGTATGAGTACATCGACGGTTAGACGATTAGGGTTAGGAATTGGATTTAGGGTTGTGGTTTTTTTTTTTATCATGAACTGACATTAGCTAAAATATCAAAACGTTATGTAACCAAATAGATGAATGAACTTCATCCTAAAACCTAAGACCTGTTATCTTAAATCTTATTAGTTCATTCATAAATTATAGTCTCATCTAAAAAAAAACTAATATGTCATAATTATTAGTTTAGTGGTTGTGGAGCTTATTAAGTTTTTGATTGAGATTATGAACAGATTGATATTAGACCATCATCCGCCCTATTGTGGAACGCCTAAGTAGTGCACATCTAACATTCCGTTGACGGGATTCGGACCCAGGTCCTTAAGTCTCGCACGAGAACGCTTAACCTACTGGACCACTGAGCCGGCATCCAATGGTGTTAGTCTCTAACACCCACCAATCCACGAAATCGCGCAACCATCTTCCATTGTACTGAGGTAGATACCTGTCTCTACCGGACATGGATTAGCTCCACTAGTCACGGCTTCACACCAGAACTCCGAGAACTTTATCACGAAGCTAGTCACTAGTTAGGCATTAACACCATTGGATTCCGACTTAGTGGTCCAGTAGGTTAAGCGTTCGCGCGCGAAACTCGAGGTTTTGGGTTCGAATCCCGCGAGCGGGATCATGGATGCGCACTGCTGAGGAGTCCCACAATATGACGAAACGGCTTTCCAGTGCTTCCAGGTTTCTAATGATGGCCTAACATCAATCAGTTCAAGATCTCAATCAAAAACTTAATATGTCTTAAAATGACCACTCAGTGTTACCAGAAATACAACTCGAATCATCCTGATAACAATTATAATGAATTCAACTTACATCCCTTATGAACAATAGTATTCAGCTGATAGACACGGTACATTATGACAGATAGACAAACTTTCAGACAATTTTTTTCAAAGTTTTTCACAATCTTATATTAAGATACATACAGTGATATGGTAATTGCACACTCATTACATTACTGTGAAATGTTATTCCATATATATGACCATTTAGGAGAAAAAAATACCATGATGAAAGTACATAGTATGTATATGTATTCATATTATATTTAACTTACTGGACCAGAGTATTTCCAAGCATTTTCTTTTGATAAATTAGATTTACGTGAAGCTCCTATATCATTAGAATTTCTTGGTACTCTAATATCTTGACGTTCAAGCTAAAATAAAGTTATAAGAATAGATATTTGTTATATCCTGACGAGAATATTGAATGGTAATTGTTAGGATCTATTTATGGACCAATATGATATATATATATATATATATATTTCTATCGTATAATTGCTAAGTAACTAAACTATTCATATTCGTTCACTTGGTGTTGTTTTACTTGTATCTTCCCATTGTTATTTAGGACTTCAATTGATCAGTCTCATGTTGGCATATGTGCATTCTGTGAGGATTGCCTCCATATAACCTTTAAGTCACAGGCTTTTTAAGCAAAGATGGATAGAACGCGATGGTGTTTGAAGCGAACGGTACTGGGTTCGAGTTCAATAGTGAAGACCAACTTTAAGATGCAGGTGCATCTAGCTAAAGAGTCCCAAACAGGACGAAACACGAATCAAACTGGATTCCATTGCTAGCCACTATCCATCTATGCTTAAAAATCTTATTCATATTCATGTTCCACTTATCATAAACTTTATTTTGATCTATGAACTATTATTATACGATTTACCATTCTTGAGTTATATCCAGTCTGTCATTTACTATCTCCCACATTCACAGCCACTTTTGGCTTAATCTTGTACAAATGTTATTTTCTATTTTATGGTAGGATGTGATCTGTTTGATTTGTATATAAACCTAGTCATTATATTTGAAATACATGATTAATATTGCAGAGGCTTAATAGTCAGGGCTAGGCAGAAAGGACTGACCGATAAGGACTCTAGACTTCTCGTATAGGTTTATGCGTCATTGGTTCGGTCGATAATTCACTGTTCTTTAATTGTTGGTATTTTTGATGCCGTTATATGAAATAACGAATTTACATGCAGTATACTACAGGAAAAAAAATTTCTCGAAAAGTCAGAAACGAAAGTTAATTTTAACCGCCTATTGAGTTATCACATACGAATCACTCATCGGTGAAGGACAATAAACCAAATACATTTTTTTATGATTCTCTATTATTGCTCGTCATTGTCCAGATCCATTTAACATACACTTAATAATTATAGGAAAGCTAAGATATAATTAAAATAATAAGGGGGCTCCGTTCTATCACACTTGGTCTATATTTATTTATTTATTTATTTATTTATCCATTTATTTATTTATTTATTTGAACACATAAATACTGGCACAAGGAGGCACCAGTTACATAAGCGCCACACAAATCTCATTTCATATGTGTAATACTGCCTGGGTGCTCAAACTGAAGAAGGTGGTTTTCTTAGAGGGCCACATCCCGAGCTTTCGACCTGAAGGTTTGATCCACAAGATAGTAGAGCATCGCAAGGAGATACAGTCCCATGGTGACCAACGATTGGTTCGTACCCCATTTGTTCCTTCAGGATCGTGGAGCCCATGTGCACCATTGGTTTGGAATCAGGGTTTTCCCACTCCCCTAGATGGATTCTCCATTTCCATCAACCTGGTTAAAGCACCGGACGTTAGCTTTTCGTCCTCTCAATTTTGTAAACAACACCGTCACCGACAGAAGACAGTGAGTAGGACTTCCCTGGCAGAGGCTATATACGCGTGGCCGTGTGGGAGCGTTTCGTTAGGGAGAGAGGACTCTCCCCACTCTCGGCCGTACAAGGGCATTTGGGGGCTCGGTCTGTAGTGATCTTTTAGTGGTCTTTTAATGGACAGAAATAGATTATTTAAAGTAACTTATCGTATACTTATTACCTTTCCTTATATGATCTGATCTCACCTCTTACACAAGCTATAAGGATTCTTTGTAGAGTAGACAATTACCTTTTACATTTATTGCATAAATGATTATTTCAAATCACTTGAAATTATTGCGTAAATCTATTCTTTGATAGTCTTCTGTCACTTTTTTAAGTTGCATAACATTCATTTTATTGAATACCTGGGAACGTTCGACAACTCTGATTATATTACCAAATTATGCAACACTTATTTTTATAGACTTACGTCCAACACTCATCTATTTCACTATAGACTTCTAAATTCGGAAAATTCTCTACGCTTAAATGAATTAGAACATCCAACTTTATACCCTGACTTTAATCTAAAATGTTGGATGATGAGTCCAGTCTTTAAATGAACAACGTTTCATTACAGGGAACACTCTTCACAATTGATTGATCACTGGGTGGTGATCATGTGTGTCAAGTCCTTCTTAGTGCAGATCGAATGCTATCAATCAAGTTGCGAGGTACGATTGTATGTACGATTGTACGATTTACGGTTCTTAAGCTATGTTCAGTTTATTAACTACTGCCTCCCACGTTCACAGCCACTTTTTGGCTTTATTGTATACAAACATTATTTCTTATTTTAGGGTGTGTTGCGGTCTGTTTGTTTGATATATAAACACAGTATGTTTGAAATATATGATTCGCATATTGGAAGCTGATATTTGGTGTTCTGGACTCAAGTGGACGGGCTAGGCGGACATAGGATCAATAAGGACGCTAGACTGCCCATACCGGTCAAACGTCATTGGTTTTGGCACAGTGCTAAGATTGTAAAAGTCGTATTTTGATTGGTGAATAAATCACGTGATAAAAAGCCGGACATAAAGTGATAACAATAATTTTCGTAAATAATAACTTCTATTTACTCACAAGCCATTTTCTATCAAACTAGTCGTAGAAATATTATTTCAAGAGTATATATTGGTAATCAATAATAATCGTACCTCTTCTTCTAATGCTTTGATTCTTAATTCAGCATTATCCAATAATTTGTACAATTCTAATCGTTCATTATCTGCAAGTACTGTCCGAAATTTTTCATTTTCCTGAAGTATTTCATGGAGAAAAAGAACAATGGAATTTGAAATAACCCCATTAGAATGAATGTATTGTGCTTACTGAGTTGTCGGTTCACTTTTTACTTCTCTCATCTAGTTTCTTCCATATACGCCACTTACCACACTTTCCCAGCATACAGGGTACCTCTAAGCTACTAAAGAATAATAGCGACATTATATATTTATTTTGATGTGGCGGGTGTTTGCTGAGATTTGTTCTATTTATAGATAGCAATCATCATGCACAGACACAAATTGGTAAACTATTTAAGATGTCCACAATACCCATAAAATAAAATTATAATCGTCACCCTACTAGCAACTTAACTCCGCCTGTAGCTCTTATAGGGTTGCTGCCGGTCCCAAGCCCGGGTAAAGGAGGAGGGTTGGGCATGAGGTTAGCGTCCCCATCCCGTAGAAAACTAACTCGCTAAAAAAACGCTTACCAGAAAAAATAATCCAAACCATTTTAACTCTGCCCTGGGAGTTAGAAGGTCTTCATTTAGAAGAATTATGACGCTTCATGGTGAAAGCCGAGTTCCTTCGGAAGCCACGAGGCCGATGCCCCTTCTAACAACCAGAGCAAAAATTTTTATAGGTACATGGAACGTTCGAACAATGTGGGAAACCGGGAAGACCAGTCAAATATCAATGGAAATGAGGAGATACAACTTAGCAGTACTGGGAATCAGCGAAACCCACTGGACCCAAGCTGGACAGAAAAGGCTAGCTACGGGAGAGATGCTGCTATACTCCGGTCACGAAAAGGACAATGCTCCACACACTCAGGGAGTCGCTCTTATGCTGTCCAAAGTAGCACGAAATGCACTTGTAGGATGGGAATCTCACGGATCCAGAATCATCAAAGCATCATTCAAAACAAAGAAGGAGGGGATCTTAATGAATATTGTCCAATGTTATGCACCCACCAGTGATAGCAACGACGAAATTAAAGATCAGTTCTACGAGCGGCTGCAGTCAATCATTGAGAAATGCCCAAGAAAGGACCTAACTATTCTGATGGGAGATCTAAATGCCAAAGTCGGAATAGACAACACTGGATATGAAGATATTATGGGACGACATGGACTGGGAGAAAGAAACGAAAATGGAGAAAGATTTGCAAATTTGTGTGCATTCAACAAATTGGTCATAGGCGGCACAATATTTCCACACAAGCGTATACACAAGGCTACATGGATCTCACCGGACCACACTACAGAGAACCAAATAGATCATATTTGCATCAACAAAAAATTCCGAAGGACAATGGAAGATGTGAGAACCAGGAGAGGTGCTGACGTAGCTTCAGATCACCACCTAGTTGTAGCCAATTTGAAACTGAAGCTAAAAGAGAACTGGACAAGTGGACAAACAGCAATACAAAGGTTCAATATAGCCTTCCTTCGAGATACTGTCAAACTCAATGAATTCAAGATAGCTCTCAACAACAGGTTCCAAGCCTTACAAGATCTACTGAAAGAAGAAGAAACTACTATGGAGGACAACTGGAAAGGCATCAAGGAAGCATTAACTTCAACGTGTCAAGAGATTCTCGGTCTAAAGAAATACCATCATAAGGAATGGATCTCTATAGAAACACTGGACAAGATCAAAGAAAGGAAGAACAAGAAGGCAGCAATAAACAACAGCCGAAAACGAACACAGAAAGTCCAAGCACAAGCTGATCATCGTCGAACAATCAGTTGAGTGGAACTCGTCACTATACATCAAATTCATTGATTATGAAAAGGCATTCGACAGTGTAAATAGGAGGACATTATGGAAACTTCTTCGACACTACGGAGTTCCTGAGAAGATTGTCAATATTATCCGGAACTCATACGACGGACTACAGTGCAAAGTAGTGCATGGAGGACAGCTGACAGATGCGTTCCAAGTAAGGACCGGAGTCAGACAAGGCTGTTTACTCTCTCCCTTCCTCTTTCTTCTGGTGGTCGACTGGATTATGAAGACCTCAACATCTGAAGGAAAACACGGAATACAATGGACAGCTCAGAATCAATTAGACGATTTGGACTTCGCAGATGACCTAGCCCTCCTATCACGTACACACGAACAGATGCAGATGAAGACAGCCAGTGTAGCAGCAGTCTCTGCATCAGTAGGCCTCAGCATACACAAAGGGAAAACTAAGGTACTCAAATTCAAAGCGGAGAACAGCAATCCAATCACACTTGATGGCGAAACTCTGGAAGATGTAGAGTCCTTCACATACCTGGGAAGCATCATCGATGAACAAGGAGGTTCAGATGCAGACGTAAAGGCGAGGATCGGCAAAGCAAGGGTCGCATTCCTACAATTGAAGAACATATGGAACTCAAAACAACTTTCAACCAATATCAAAGTGAGAATCTTCAATACGAACGTCAAGGCAGTTCTACTGTATGGAGCTGAAACTTGGAGAACTACAACAACCACAATCAAGAAAGTACAAGTATTTATAAATAGCTGTCTACGCAAGATACTCAACATCCATTGGCCGGATACCATCAGCAATACCCTTCTGTGGGAGAGAACAAACCAACTTCCAGCTGAAGAAGAAATTAGGAAAAGACGATGGAAATGGATAGGACATACATTACGCAAATCGTCAAACTGCATCACGAGGCAAGCCCTAACTTGGAATCCTGAAGGGAAGCGGAGAAGAGGAAGGCCAAAGAACACATTGCGTCGGATAATAGAAGCAGATATGAAAACGATGAATTACAACTGGACGGAGCTAGAAAGGATTGCCCAGGACAGGGTTGGATGGAGAATGCTGGTGAGCGGCCTATGCTCCTTCACGAGGAGTAACAGGCGTAAGTAAGTAAGTAAGTAAGTACTAGCAACTTGAATGAAGATGAGTTCCTAAAGTTCTCATAAAAAAACTGTGACCAGTAAAGTTTAAATATATCATGAATGAAATATTGATAGCATTGGATTATCATTATCTCACGTTCAGTTGAACCTGAGAATGCATTCGATTGGTTTACTATCTAATGACCTGAAATGTAAGTGATTTTTGCGAGATATAAAGGTTCTTTTTCTTATTCCTGTCGGAGATCCTAAAAAGATCCTTACTAAAACAAAATAGTTATCCAATCCTTCTTGGTTTTCAATCGTACCCTAACTAAAGTTCTAGTTTCAAGTATCACCGTTACAAACAGACTGATCTCACTGCATAAACTTTAGCTTAGATAACAAATAAAAATGATTACAGTTATGTGAGTGGTTCAAGGACATTTTTGCCTGTGACAAAAACTTAATTGTTTAATCAAAGATAGGCTTTTGGAATTAGTATCATGAAATAATCCTATTATGTAATATAAAACACCTCTGTTCTCTACTAGAACTCTTTATTATTATTTGCCAGTATCTTTCATCTAATAAGAGCAAAGATAGAATAAACTCGGAAAAATTTCCATTTAGATTTATTTACATCAAATATATTTTTTGATTAAAATCATGAATCGATCAATGTTAGACCACCAATGAAAACCTGGAAGTACTGGACAGCCGTTTCGTTCCTGTATGTGACTCCTCGGTAGTGCGTATCTGCGATCATGAACGCGAGATTAGAACCCGAATCCTTCGGCTTCAACCTCAACGAAGTCCAGTGTTTCTAGATATTCAATGGTAATCTAGCAATGATAGATTCATGATCTTAATCAAAACTCAACAACCTTCTCAATCCTATCCTAATAAATATATTTTTGTCTCAATAGTTGAGACCATGAGTCAATTGAATCTAGACCACCATGGAAAACCTGGAAACTTTGGACGGCCTATTGTAGGAGTCCTCAGCAGTTCACATCCATGATCCTGCCTCGCGAGATTCGAACACAGGACCTATCAGTCTCGCACGCGAACGCTTAACCATTAGACCACTGATCCGGCCAGCATCCAATGGTGTTAATGTTTAACTTCAACTTATCCACGAAATTGAGCGACATATTCACCATTGTCGTCAATGAGTTACTATCTCACAACAGACCCGGTTGAATTCCACTGGTCACTGTTTCTCTCTAGAACTCCAGAAAATACCACTTGAAGCCATTCATTAGCGTGCGTATGTTGATCAATACCAGAAAGAGTTTTTTCGGTTTTTGTATTGCTCAATCTCATGGATTAGTTGAAGTTAGACATTAACACTGTTGAATGCCGGCCAGCTCAGCGGCCTAATGGTCAAGCGTTTGCTCGCAAAACTAATAGATCCTGATTTCAAATCCCGCGACACAAAATCATAGATGCCCACTACTGAAGAATCCCACAATACAACGAAACAATCATCCAGTGTTTCCAAGTTTTCCATGATAGTCTAGTTTCAATTGAATCATAATTTCAACTATTGAAATCTTAATATTATACAACAAAAAAGAAACAACAACTTACAATTTGATCAAGTCTTTTATTTTTCAATAATGTTTGTTCTTCTAAACGATTTTGTTGTTCTTTTAATGCTTGAATTTCTTCATGATATTTTTGTTCAATAGTTTGATGATATTCATTATTATCTTGTTGTTGTTTAGCTAAATTACATACAGTTCTATTTAATTCAGTTATAGTATTACGTAATTGTTCATTTTCATTAGATAAATTTCTTAATGCAATTGTTGTCATTGAATTATTTGAATGAATATTTGGATAATTGGTCATTGATTTATCATTAAATGATTCTAATAATTCATTATCTAATGTATTTAATGGATTCATTGAATAATTGGAATGATTTGCATTTAATGCTTGTTCTAATGTAATAAAAGAAAACAATTATATATGACATTTTAAATGATATTTGTTATATTTTAGTGAAGATCTTATTGTATCACTATTCAGTAATTAGATTATGTATATCTATATTCATCATAATGAACTAATGATAGGGAGTGAAGTAGTTGAGCGTATCAACCGCTTCACTTATCTTGGAAGTCTCATCAGCCCTTGTGATCTGGTGTGTGACGAAGTCTCAACACGGATACAGAAGGCTCAACTAGCTTTTACCAACTTGCGTCATTTATGGCGTAGGCAAGATATCCGTCTATCAACCAAAGGACGAGGTTGCTGTGCAGCAGTTCGTTCCGTCCTACTTTATGGCAGTGAAACATGGCCGGTAAGAGTAGAGGATATTCGTAGGTTACTAGTATTTGATGATAGGTGTCTTCGAAACATTGCTCGTATATCCTGGGACCATCGATTAAGTAACGCGATTGTTAGGAAACACTTACTAGGTAAGCATGGCAAATCGATTGATGAAGTGGTGAAACTTCATCAGTTGAGATGGCTGGGACACGTGTTACGTATGTCCAACCACCGACTGCCTCAACGTGCGATGTTCAGTGGTATAGGAGTAGATTGGAAGAAAACTAGGAGCGGCCAGACCAAAACATGGCACAAGTCCATGAAGTCAGTGACAAGTGGACTGAGTCATGTTGTTAGGTGTAGACTACCTGATTGCGGACCGCGAGATGATAGCGACCGATAGTTAGAGACCCTGAATGACATGGCTCAAAATCGTTCCCAATGGCGCAGGTGCATACACTCTTTGTGTCCTCCCAAATTCTAATCTGCTGATTCCTCCTTGTCCTTTATTCTCTCCCAAAATTTATTTCACTGGATTATACTCTTTAAATGACATCTCCAAACCCTACTCTTTCCGATTACTGCTTATACCCTTACTACCTCTACCACTACGGGATTTGAATCGACAACTGCATCTCTGTGCTAATTTGGTATGGCAACTCGAACTGATGTACGTACGTACGAAGTTCTATGTTGTTACTGACTGATATTCATCTTATAATAAGCTTCATGCTGACTTATAGATCATTATTATACGATTTACTGTTCTCAAGTTATGTTCAGTTTATTGATTACAGTCTCCCAACGTTCATAAAACATTTTGACTTGATCTTGCCTAAATGTTATTTTTTATTTTATGGTATGATGTGTCCTGTTTGGCTAGTATATAAACCCAGTATGTCTGAAATAAATTATTCGCATAGTGGAAGCTGTTATTGGTCTTCTGGACTCAGTTGGACGGGCTAGGCGAATAAAAGACCGGTCGAACGTTTAGTACAGTACACGAGTGAATAAATCATATTTCGATTGAGGAATAAATTACGTGATAATTAGCCGGACTTCAAATTCCCAACAATACTATCCTTATTGACGTTAAAAGCATTACGTATGACAAAGAACTTTATTTATTTCGATAGAACATCTTATATGAAGATTAATAAAGGTCAATTAAATGAAAGTTCAAGTAAACAAGGTAACAAATAGGAGAGAAATAATTTTACATCGTATAGAAAGAATAGGAAATTGTTGAGTTAATAGATGGCGGAGAAAATTAGTAGCTCAGGTGGATGATTTTGATGGAGTTTTGTTCACTGAGCTGGATGGTTTGATCGTGGAGTTCTCATCGTTCTTCTGAATGACATGATCAACACAAACTTCAGGTAGAAGTCGAGTTATTCTTCATTCTATGGCCTAGGATAACGCGACAATTTCCTATTCTTTCTATACGATGTAAAATTATTTCTCTCCTGTTTGTTACCTTGTTTACCTTAAATTTCATTGAATTGACCTTTATTAATCTTCATATAAAATGCCCTGACAAGTGTATGTATGACCAGATTGTTCGAAATGTATAGTGCAAATACATCAAATTTTCCAGATCAACTCCATCTTTTCATTGTTCTATCGGAATTTATAAAAGGGACTAATCGCTTTAAACTTTATTTATACTTTGAAAGGAATATCATCAAAACATTTAAAAATAACTAATAAACAAATTTATTCTCCGCCCCCCCCCCAGTGACATTTTCTATGGGGTTTCATTGTTTATAAGGGATAAAGTTTAATCTTTCAAGCTTATCTTGGAATACCTTGATAGTGGAATAAGAGGATAATTAACCTTTCAGCTTTCTTAGCCATTTTTTACTTATGATCATATTTCATTTAGTTGGAACTAGGCAAATAATAATAACAATATTCAAGGCTTGATCTTAAATGAAATCATGTTTGTATATGGGAACTGCTAAGTAATCTTAACCTTGGATAACATAAATACGAATGGTTCCTTTAGATAGAACTCCATATGTTTAATCATCTTCAAATATTGATTAAGTTATGTACTTAAGACAGTCTAAAAAAAAAGAAATTATATTGACTTACTTCTTTGACGTTCAAGAAGTGTTTCTAATCGACAAATAAGTTCTTCTTGTTGTTTAACTGTTCTCTCCAATAATGGAACTCTTGAGACTTGTTTACTAAGTTTATCTAAATCTAATGATTGAGATTTGAATTCAGCTTGAAGCTAAACACAAGTGATCCATGAGGAAAATGAAAATATCGTTATAGTTTCGATTAAATATTGAACAGTTTTAGGTGTTACATGTCATGTTTTAAGCACTTTTCATACAGAATAACAATAATACATTTTCAGTAAGGGGTTGCGAAGATTGTTGAATTTTACTGAGACCATTAATCGATCTAAGTTAAACCATCATTAAAAACCTGGAAGCACTGAACGACCAACTCTTTCTAGCATGAAACCCTCTACCAGTGCTTATGCACGATCCCGCAGATGGACTGGAACCCAGAACCCTTGGTCTTTTGCGCGAACCCCTAATCCCTAGACTACTGAGCCAGCATCCAACTGTGTTAATGTCTTACCTCAATCAATCCATGACACTGCGCGAAACCTAAGGTCCTATTATCAAAGAAACGCTAAAGAATAAGATTTCAACAAACATTAATGAAGTCAGTTATAACATATATTCTCGAATAAATAATTAAAGTATAGTCTTATGTAGATAAATATACGTTATTGACTAGAAATTAATATATGTTCAGTCACCAAAAACAATTGTTTATTTGAAGGGAATTTCGTGTATATTCATTTGATTTGCAAGTTGTATTCGTCACAGTTTGCACTCAATCGGATTACCATTGAAGATCAATTCACAACTACAATATTACGTACTAGGTCAATCCTACATGGTTTCTAATAATACCCCAAATGAAAGTAATCTGTAACAAGAACAAACTACAAACTAAATGAGCATCCATAAAAATAACTCCAACCACTTTTCAACCTTTATCATAGAAGCCTAATATTAAAATTATTAGAGAGTTTTATCAGATAAACTAAGAATACCACATTGAGATAGAAGTATCAGTCATTTCCAGAAATGTCTATATTACTCATATCACTTGACAACAAAAACTGCACAAAAATCACTGAAATGACAAAAACGGATCGTAGCCAAGATAGATGTTTTTCATAATGTATTGTTCTCTAAACTAGATAGTGGGATTTGCGTGATTTCTTCATCACTCTGTATGACACATTTACAGTCTACTTCAAGTAGAACTGAGGCTTTCAGATATTCCATAAATGTTATATCCGTGCCGGGTAGAAACAGGTGTCTACCTCAGTACAATGAAAGATGGTCGCACAATTTCGTGGATTGGTTGAGGTTAGACATTAACACCACTGGATGCCAGCTCAGTGGTCCAGTAGATTAAGCGTGCGCGCGCGAGACTGAAGGCTCTGGGTTCGAGTCCCGCAAACGGGATCGTGGATGTGCACTACTGAGGAGTCCCACTATAGGACGAAACGGCCTTCCAGTGCTTTCAGATTTTCAATGATGGTCTAACATCAATCGGTTCATGATCTCAATCAAAAACTGAACAATCTACACAACTACTAAACTGAATGTTATATCAGTTTGTTTTGATGACTGCTTGTAATAGACTGTTTTCATACTCACTATTTCTATCGATTTACCTTTTGGCATATCGACATAGATCCATTATACAAACTCATAGATCAGAAGTTAGTTAACAAAGACAGTCGGCATAAATGAAAACAGTAAAATCTACGAAAATAGTTAGTTACAAACAAGGTTATTAAAAAAGGTCTGATAAAACACTTTTGGAATAATTGAAAAGATCATTTCTGTACAAAGAAGATGCCGACTATGTTGTCGAGATTGATAATGAATGCTCTATAAGTGAAGAGATACATAAACCATTGGTATATATATATATATATAGAAGAACATTTATAAATTTTATGAATATATATATACATTACTCGAATCAATTTCTCTTCATTTCTTTTTTGATGAATTAATTGATCTTGTAATATAGTAACACGTTCTTTGTAAAATGTCAATTCACTTGCTGCTCTAAGTAATTTCTTCTTCATAATAACTAGTTGATTTAAAATGCAAATTTAGTTGAATGTTAGTAAAAAAATTTATGAATTCTGTACAAATAATTTCAATCAAAAACTTAACAATCTCCACAACCCCTAAACTGATAATTACCATGTGCTCACTAGTGAATAGCTTCGTGAGAGAAGTCTCGGAGTTCTAGTGAGAAGCCGTGACCAGTGGAGCTAATCCGTGTCGGGTAGAAACAGGTATCTACCTCAGTACAATGGAAGATAGTTGCGCGATTTCGTGGATTGGTTGAGGTTAGACATTAACACCATTGGATGCCGACTCAATGATCTAGTTGGTTAGGCGCCTGTCGCGAGACCGATAGGTCCTGAGTTAGAATCTCGCGGGGTGCGGGACCGTGGATGCGCAAAGCTGGGGAGTCCTGTACTAGGACGAAACGGCCTTCCAGTGCTTCCAGGTTTCCCATAGTGGTCTAGCTTCAATTGACTCATGATTTCAATCAAAAAGAATCTAAAATAGTTTATTTACTCTTGTACTGGAATCTGTACAACAGAAAATATTGATCGTTCACTTGGAAACATTCACGTAAACTATAGTGCAGTTCATCTAACAAATTCAGTTCTAACAACTAATATGAATCAGTTCTAATCAGCATAGAGATTAATATGAATTTTCGTTGATTCAACTTTCCATTACAAAATAATGGGCATAACTATTGAAGCAATCATAATGAGAAAGAGAGAGATAAACTAAACATTGAAAATATAGTTCGAGAAGACGAAATGAAATATTTAAAAATCAAAACCTTAGGAGAAGCAAAGAATGAACTCATCTATATCATTATGATCGATTCTGATTCATGTCATTCAACCATTTGTCAAAACCACTCAATCTCCAACCAAATGGTCAACAATTAACAACAATTCTCAGACTACAAGTACATGATTTTAATAATGGATACCAACTGTTGCTTTAGCTACTCCAACTTACTCTTAATCCAGTCATTAGTGCACATAGAGTTAGGTGGTTAGGCATATGTAATACATAACTCAAATACCTCAGTTAAGGAAGGTATACAGCCTTATCGACCAATTTATCAAGTTTGATAGAAAAATCGTATGATTCTGTATTGATTTTCAAGTGAGATTTTTTGTATTTTCATTTTGATTCATTCATTCACTGTAATTTCCCGTTCAAGTATCAACTGCTCAGTTTGACAAATCTTATCATAAATAATCATTGAATCTAATCTATATGCAATTAAATAAATCTAAATGTAAAGTAGTACTTCTGAGGTTTCATCAAATAAGTCTTCCTTGTACGATTTGTATGTTTGAAGTAATCGGAGTTAGAGAGGATAGGAAATTATTAAATTATAGTTCAAAGTAGCGTTAGAATTATAAGTGGAACTGAAAATCATATGATTATACTAAGTACCTTAAGCCAATTGTTAACATTGCTCCCTCTATCGTTCCACAATAGGTAAATCGTGTTTCGAAGATATCTATTGTCTAAAACTGAATCCTACGTACATTTACCAATTCCGTCAGCTATATTTCATAGTCATAGAGTAATATAAGTTGATAAAAATAACAATACTGTCACCAAAGTTTTCCTAGAAACATCCTACGAATATGATACATATCGTTTACATACCCTATCACATCTTCACTTTATTTGAATTCTTATTTAAATCAATATTTACTTAATCTAACTACTAATAATTATTAGTATAGGGGTTGTGGAGATTGTTAAGTTTTGATTGAGATCATGAACCGATTGATGTTAGACCACCATTGAAAACCTGGAAGCACTGGACGGCCGTTTCGTCCTATCTGTGAATAAAAGTTCATTCGTAAGGTAGATAGTAAAATACTATAGATTTTGAAATGCTGGTAAGAAACCTAGGAAAATAAAGTATCCTCATACGATTCTTTCTAAACTATTGTTTTTCCCTAGTAATGCTGATCAGTGGTTAGTATATGAGAATTCAAAAACTCGGCTTTTATCCTATTTGTGACTTATTAGTAACCAACAGAGACTAATCATTCTCAGCTATTTACATCAACAGCAAGAAGATGCAACTTCTTAAAAATACCATTGTTCTCTCTGCTCTTAAATACAGAAACATTTATGTACATAGACTCTAAGCAGTAATTCTTTAACCTGTAATCCAAGATAACAGTATGATCAACATTAGTTAGTCGTAAATGAAGCATAACTAGTTTCTATTTACAAATAATAATATTTATATTGACTTGGTATTGTTTACTTAAGTCTTCTCATTAATGTTTAAAACTGCAATTGATCAGTCTCTGATTGGCATATATGCATATTGTGCGTATTGCCTCGATATTACCTTAATTCACAAGCATTATAAGCAAAGACAAATGATGGCTAGCAGTGGAATCCAGTTTGACGCGCATTTTGTCCTATTTGGGACTTATCAGCTGAATGTACCTGCATCTCAGAGTTGATGTTCACTCGAGGACCCAAACACAGTATCGTTTGCTTCAAATGTCATCGTTTTATTCACTTAGTTACTGAGTCTTGATAGTCACTTGTTTGTGCCATGGGGTGAACTTTAAATGAATGATCAACTAAAGTCCTAAACATCAATGGGAAGTGTTGTGGATGCGGAGGAATAGACCAATAATTATCATGTTAAGTCCAATGGTGTCCTTGGACTTTAAATGGACATTTCCTATTGGTCGATATCTGTTCACTTGTTGGATATTGTACAAAATGTTGTTTTCTATTTTGTGGTACGATGTGGTATGCTTGATTGGTATATAAACAAAGTATGTTTGAAATATAACGATTCATATCTCCGAGGCCGTGGCTTGTCTTCTGGACTCAACTGACTGGACTAGACAGGGAAGTGGGACCAATCGAGACTCTAGGCCGTCCGTTCGTGTTTACGTGTCACTGTAATCGATCGATAAGCACGCTGCTCTCTAATTTTCCAGTCAAGGACACAACAATTAGCACAGGGTAAAAATCGATCGCAACTTAAAGCCATAACAGGAAGATTCAAGTAAACAATATCAAGTGAATTTAAACTTCACCCTTTTTCACAGGACTCAATATCTAAGGCGATAACGCGATGGTGTTTGAAACGAATAGTACTGGATTCGAGTCCCAGAGAGAAGATCAACTCTGAGATGCAGGTACATTCAGGTGAATAGTCCCAAATGTGACGAAACACGTGTCCTCGATTCCGTTGCTAACCACTATCCATATTTTCTTATAATAATATTTATGTTATATTTTTTTCTAGATTATCAGTTCATCACCTTTTTCTTTTCATTATTTAACCCACTGTGAATATCTACTATGTATGCCAAAACTAACAAGCTGTGATTTCAAGAAAACAATTAATCAATTTATCGAATCCATTTATTGATAATCGAATCATCAGAATAAAACAATAATTGGTGCTAATCATTAACCTTGATATCTTTTTCTTTTCACTCGAAAGTACTATTCTAATTCATAGTTTAATGGGTTGGATTGTTTCAATAATACACATATATATGTATATCTAAGTTTATTTGTTCCCAGCATGATATTTACAAAAAAAGGTTTGTTTTTTGTGTACACTACCACTTTTTCAAAGAAAAAAAGAATTTTTTTGTGGAAATAGTATTTTACTCTTAGGGTCAAGTGTTCAGCTAATAAGGGGGTACAGTTCACCATATCATAACTTGGATCCGTTTACTGGTTAGATCGTAAGTATACAACTATGAATCGGATATTAAAATAATATAACTGTTCACTTCCCCTTCATTTACAATATAGTCCAATTAATTAATCCATAATGTTAATTTCAGCTCTAAACATCAATAGGAAGATTTAAGTAAACAATATCAAGTGAATTTAAACTTCGCCCTTTCTTCACAGGACTCAGTATCTAATTGGATAACGCAATGGTGTTTAAAGCGAATAGTACTGGATTCGAGTCCCAGAGTGAAGATCAACTCTGAAATCCAGGTATATTCAGATGACAAGTCCGAAATAAGACGAAACGCGCGTCAAACTACATTCCGCTGATAGCCACTATCCAACTAACTATAGTCTAATAAATTCTATATAAACAATACATATAAATCAATATAATTTACCAAGTAAATTTAATGCTTCTTTACGACTGACTGGTATTTCTCTAAGTAGATCTTCCCAACCAGATCCAAGTACATTTAATCGTAACCAATCCCAATTGTTGAATTCAAAATTTTTTTCCATTGGACCTAAATAATCTGAGCTAAGATATTGTGGCCAATATTTAGAATTTTGATTAATTAATGATTGTTTCTCTGATAAATGATGATCATCTTGTGATTGATTTACATCCTAATTGTTTTATAAAGACAAAGAAACCTGAATGTTATATAGTATACAATATAAAATGTTTTCAATAATATTAAATAATAAAAATGAAGATTAGTTTCAACTTTATCATTCATTCAGAGATGTATTCCTAAAATCAACTATATCGATAGCAAGACATTATTTCTCAGATGACAGTACTTACTTGCTTACACCAGTTCCCCGTTCTAGAGGAGCATAGGCCACCCACCAACACTCTCCATTCAACTCTTTTCTGGACAATACTTTCCAGTTCTTTCCAGTTCTTATACATCCTTTACATATCTGATTCTATTTCCCGATGTAATGTGCTCTTTGGCCTTCCTCTTTTCTGCTTCCCTTCAGAATTCCAAGTTAAGGCTTACCTCGTAATGTAGTTTGATGATTTGCGTAATGTATGTCCTATCCATTTCCACCGTCTTTTCCTAATCTCCTCTTCAGCTGGAAGTTGGTTTGTTCTCTCCTACAGAAGGCTGCTGCTGATGGTATTCAACCAATGGATCACGAATATTTTGCGTAGACAACTATTTATAAGTAATTGTACCTTCTTGATGATGGTTGTTGTAGTTCTCCAAGTTTCAGCTCCGTACAGTACAACTGACTGTCTTCACGTTCGTGTTGAAGATTGTCACTTTGATATTAGTCGAGAGTTGTTTCGAGTTCCTTATGTTATTCAACTGTAGGAATGCGTAACTTGATTCAACAATCCTCACTTTTGCGTCTGCATCCGATCCTCATTGTTCATCGATGATGCCTCTCAGGTACGTGAAGTATTCTACATCTTGCAGAGTTTCGCCATCAAGTGTGATTGGATTTTGGTTGTGCATGTTGTATTTGAGGATGTTGATTTTCCCCTTGTATATGTTGAAGCCTACTGATGCAGAGACTGCTGCTGCTACACTGGTTGTCTTCATCTGTATTTGTTCGTGTGTATAGAATAGGATATTTTACATTAACTGTCTGTTTATTAATAGCTTTTTTCCACGATACATGATTGATTCGATTTACTCAATTTGTTAGTATTTATAAGGTAAAATGTGTTTGCATTGTTTATATTTAAAAAACTGACTTAATTTAGGCGATTGATTGATAATTAAGAAACATTTGGCACCTCAGCAACACAATATTTACCGGTTAACCTTATGCTGGACAATTCGTCGAATCACTTTGGACAGTGGCTAGCAGTGGAATAAAGGATGAGCGTTTAATTCTGTTTTGGACTTGTCAAATGAAGTTACATATATCTTAGTACTGATGTTCACTCCGGGACCCACTTAAAACGATATCGCTTCATCCTCTTAGCTACTGATTATAGATAGTCACCGGCTTATGCAGTAGTGTAAAATTTAATTTTTTGTACTGGTTGTTTGAATTTTCACATTGATGTTGAAGACTGCAATTAATCAGTCACCTTTAACATATGAGCATCCCGTACTAATCGCGTTGACATTACTTTTAAGTTGCAGGCATTATAAGCAGAATTGAATGGCGGCTACCAGTGAAATCCAAGACTTACGTTCATTCCTATTCAGGACTCGTCAGCTGGATGTCCCTAGATCCCATATTCGATATTCAATAAAAGACTCAATCGCAGTACTATTCGTCTAAAACGTCATAACGCTATTCACTTAGCTATTGAGTCTGAACTGCCACTGGCTTGTTTAACGGGTATGATTTTTTTCTTAGGAGTTTATATTTTTCCCCCGTGTATGGAAAGGACTCTGATGGCAAATGTGTATCCTGAATTTACTAAAAACTTGTGATTCAACGACAATATCAAAGTAATCCACTCAGAACACAAATGTAAAAGATGTTGAATAAGTAAATTCGATATGAATAGTTTTTGAAACTTACATTATTCGGATTATTTTTTTGATGATAACGATGTTGATCACTAGAACGAGAAGAAATTTTTTTAATATTTACAGAATCATCTTTGATATTCTTTTTATCTGATTTCACAGCTGAATTAAGTTTAGACTTTATAGGGTCAGGCTGCATATAATTTGGAACATCATTCAGTAAACTGTTTAATGGGCTCTCATCATCTTCTCCTTCTTGGTTCATCACTTCTGAATTTAGCTATGTCAATAAAACAGAAAAATTAGTAAATCATAAAAAGCTTTGGTAAAATTTTAAATTAGATGCGCACTACTGAGGAGTCCCACAATAAGACGAAACGGCCATCCAGTGCTTACAGGTTTTCCACGGAGGTCTAGCTTCAATTGACTCATGATCTCAATTGTTTAAATTACTATAATCTCCACAAAACGCCTTCTGATACTAATCAGATTTCCGTCGCTTATTTTGTGTTGTAATTGTGCTACTAAATACATTTAAAGTAGTATGAAATTAGTCATAGAATATTTTCAGGTTGATGGACCGTGAACAGATAACTCATGACTATCGAGAATCTTCCGTTATTTGTCTGGACATTATCATTAGAAAAAATCCTGAAGAAAAATTAGCTCCTACAAGCCTCAACTCCTTTGGAACCGAATCTGAAACATTCAGACCTTGAAGAAAGCCTCTCATACTTAAACCATTGTGTTAACATATGATTGTCTACATTTCTAACTTGTGTCAAAATATGATATTGCACGAATACTAAGCATTGTCAACTATGGGCCTATACGATGTCCAGTAAACATAGCTCGTATAAGATTTGAATAGCGTTTAGCATCCGTCAAAGTGATATCTTCAACATTTATATTCACTTAAAAGTTCAACCGGGTCTGTTGTAAGATAGTAACTCACTGATGATAAAATCAATAATTCAGTAGAAAAAACGTTTTCTAAAACTCACATTTCATTACCTTACATAGCACAAGTAGTATATACGTTTTCTATAATAAAAATCGTTTTAATAATAATAATGTTTAAGTTGACTGTAACAACATTTACCATTATCTGTTATTTAAATTAACCAAAATTTATGAATTATTAATATCGTATACAAGTTGCTTAGTAACAGGAAAGATCAATTGTACTTACATAACTAGGTGAACAGAATTAAAGAAGATAGTTACGTAAGTCTTTTATTAGACCATGTTTAAATAAAATTGTATCCATTAAACTATAAACTGCTTTATAGACAATAATAATCTTATGATAATCAGATTTTCAAGTTGGAAGATGACTGAAAAGAATCATATGTATGTATAACACAATATTGGTTTACTTATTACATACGTATGTATAACGTTATTATTAGCCATTAACGACTTGTATGAATATATGAATATATACTTGAAACTTGTGTTGAAGTTAATTACAAGTAATCTAAGGATTCAGACAAAAGTGTGTTATGGTTACCTGCAAAATCTAAAAATTTGGTTACTATCATGTATTGATATGAATTGGAAGAATCTCTGTCGTACAGGAGGACTGTATGATCCTGGTTCAAAGAAAATAAGAAGCATTAGTTCACTTGAGATTACTAGGTGTGCCTTATTGATAATTGTATCAACGAGCGCTTAACTTAGAGCATGCGTGCTTTTTTATTAACTACTTCTAACCACCTAACATCAAAATAGGGAGTGTTGGATTGCGGATAATGTTGCCGTTCCGCTTTTGATGTATTTACATTTTAAAAATACAGTTATTGCATAGGAGAATCATTTAGAGACATCAAGAAGTATGTCAACGTTTAAATCTAAGTGCTTATTAAGTTCTATAGAACAGTTTTGCAGTCAGTTACATTCGGTTTCAAAAATCGAAATCATGGACCTATGACATCAAGTTTTCTATATGCTAAGCAAACCTAAATAAGTCATATGAGATATATTGAGGATGTATGGAAGATAAGATGTGTGGTCAATGAATCATGAGGAAACGGATTATTCACATTTTTATGGTAATCTAGTTCAGCCTAATCGTCAGTAAAATACTCATGAGCTTCAAGGGTTATCATTTGGCATTTGACAATAAAGCTATCTACACAGTCTTTGACTTCTGCATACATGAATTAGTAAAACGTTAGGAGGATGAAGACTAACTTAATCGGATCACAGGTTTAAAACGTTTCGTCATTCACCAGAGAACCCAATCTATAGATTAATGTAGCTAATTATTAACTCACCTGGTCATGGTGTACTTCAAGTCCCTAAAGTATCACTGATTCATTCTAGACATAACGATATCCTTACTTATGAGTCATGTTGTATAGATAAATGGGGATTGATAGCCTCTTGGTAATTTCCTCTGACCACATGGTCTCAACTGTCAAAATCAATCACTATTTTCTCTTTACAAGCATTTTATATGCATTTAATGAACATAAACTCCATACGAATGCATGGAACATACTTGTAATATTTTCTTCATAAAGCCATATTGGCATCGTGATAGCATCATTTAATGAAACGATTAAAAAAGGAAATGAGAATTACTTTCAATAAATTTTCACTCTGACTCGTATGTTCAGCCAGAAGAAAAATTCAAATTCATCATGTCTTGTGAAAATTCTGAGTAGTAGTAGTAGTAGTAGTAGTAGTAGTAGTAGTAGTAGTAGTAGTAGTAGTAGTAGTAGTAGTAGTAGTAGTAGTAGTAGTAGTAGTAGTAGTAGTAGTAGTAGTAGTAGTAGTAGTAGTAGTAGTAGTAGTAGTAGTAGTAGTAGTAGTAGTAGTAGTAGTAGTAGTAGTAGTAGTAGTAGTAGTAGTAGTAGTAGTAGTAGTAGTAGTAGTAGTAGTAGTAGTAGTAGTAGTAGTAGTAGTAGTAGTAGTAGTAGTAGTAGTAGTAGTAGTAGTAGTAGTAGTAGTAGTAGTAGTAGTAGTAGTAGTAGTAGTAGTAGTAGTAGTAGTAGTAGTAGTAGTAGTAGTAGTAGTAGTAGTAGTAGTAGTAGTAGTAGTAGTAGTAGTAGTAGTAGTAGTAGTAGTAGTAGTAGTAGTAGTAGTAGTAGTAGTAGTAGTAGTAGTAGTAGTAGTAGTAGTAGTAGTAGTAGTAGTAGTAGTAGTAGTAGTAGTAGTAGTAGTAGTAGTAGTAGTAGTAGTAGTAGTAGTAGTAGTAGTAGTAGTAGTAGTAGTAGTAGTAGTAGTAGTAGTAGTAGTAGTAGTAGTAGTAGTAGTAGTAGTAGTAGTAGTAGTAGTAGTAGTAGTAGTAGTAGTAGTAGTAGTAGTAGTAGTAGTAGTAGTAGTAGTAGTAGTAGTAGTAGTAGTAGTAGTAGTAGTAGTAGTAGTAGTAGTAGTAGTAGTAGTAGTAGTAGTAGTAGTAGTAGTAGTAGTAGTAGTAGTAGTAGTAGTAGTAGTAGTAGTAGTAGTAGTAGTAGTAGTAGTAGTAGTAGTAGTAGTAGTAGTAGTAGTAGTAGTAGTAGTAGTAGTAGTAGTAGTAGTAGTGTAGTAGTAGTAGTAGTAGTAGTAGTAGTAGTAGTAGTAGTAGTAGTAGTAGTAGTAGTAGTAGTAGTAGTAGTAGTAGTAGTAGTAGTAGTAGTAGTAGTAGTAGTAGTAGTAGTAGTAGTAGTAGTAGTAGTAGTAGTAGTAGTAGTAGTAGTAGTAGTAGTAGTAGTAGTAGTAGTAGTAGTAGTAGTAGTAGTAGTAGTAGTAGTAGTAGTAGTAGTAGTAGTAGTAGTAGTAGTAGTAGTAGTAGTAGTAGTAGTAGTAGTAGTAGTAGTAGTAGTAGTAGTAGTAGTAGTAGTAGTAGTAGTAGTAGTAGTAGTAGTAGTAGTAGTAGTAGTAGTAGTAGTAGTAGTAGTAGTAGTAGTAGTAGTAGTAGTAGTAGTAGTAGTAGTAGTAGTAGTAGTAGTAGTAGTAGTAGTAGTAGTAGTAGTAGTAGTAGTAGTAGTAGTAGTAGTAGTAGTAGTAGTAGTAGTAGTAGTAGTAGTAGTAGTAGTAGTAGTAGTAGTAGTAGTAGTAGTAGTAGTAGTAGTAGTAGTAGTAGTAGTAGTAGTAGTAGTAGTAGTAGTAAAAACAATCATCCATACCTATAGCGGTGATCATGTTCAATGTACTTAGAATGATTTCACTGAAATCATGAACCAATCTAAGTTGGGACACCATTAAAACCTGAAAGCACTGGATGGCCGTTTCATCCTAGTGCAAGACTCCTCAGAAGTGATGATCTGAGACCCCATATCCGGGGACAGAAAACAGAAATCGCTGTCTTAAACTCAAACCCTTAACCTCTAAACCACTGAGTTGGCATCCAGTGAATTGTCGGTGTTATCTAACTTAACAATGCAAGAATATTAAGTGCAATCAATTACAAAAAGGTCAAGTCATGTCATTCCGGTCAAGGTGATTTATGTGAGGGATATTTGTGTATTTGTGTGTATATGACATTTGTGATGCAAAAGGATAGAGTTGAATTTGCGTGTGTGATGATGCGAGATGTGACTAGATAAATGACTCGGATAAATGATCCAAGTCAGATGGATAGTAAAGTCTTATTTTCTATTGAGGGCAATAGGATTAAGTAATATATGAAAAGCTTCAGCTATTCGCCCTCCATTGTAGTTGAAAAAGCTCTTTTGTATTATTTGGGTGGTTTGAACATCGACTTGATAGTTATTGAAAATGGCATAGACTGCTATTACCGAATGAATTTGAAATCTTCCCAGCTCTACGGAATTGTTAGGAGGTTTTTTTGTGTACCTAAGATGTTCTTTGGTTTGAGTCAAGATTTCATAAGATGGCTCTTCAATATAGAAGGCAACGCAATCATCACAACCTAATTTTTAAACACACTTCCGTGTTCACACAAAAGGGATTTGATCCTTTATGCGAAGTAAAGCATTTCAAAGGGTGTTCGTTGTTCTGCAACATACTTTGAAGTTCTTCTGTTGTATCATGTCCGTATGATTAAACCAACGTATCAATCCATGGTATTTCATTGAAATTATTATTTAGCAGTAACACGTCTCGTTTTCTTGCACTTTTAATAATCTTCATAGGAAAAATATTAATTTGTAAGATGTTACTCATATGTTTTCGTTCTTTTTATTTATCCTCTTCAGATGTAATAATCTTGTTCACTCTTCTAAAAAGATTTAGGGCCAGAGAGAATTTCGCTGAAGTCTATATAATTATTTGAGTGAGTTGGTTTTCTGTAGATGGTTAGATTCAGAGCTCCACTTAGATTTCTTTTAACTAAGTAATCTAAAAAAGGTAGCTTATCGTGTTCATTTTCATTCTCATATGTAAATTTAATGTGAGATGAGAGTGCACTGATCAACTTAGAAAACGATCTTAGATGAATCTTTTTTATGACAACAAAGGTATCGTCTACAAACCTGAGCCAAATCCGTGCTTTAATATCATCGGCGAAAATATCCGATTCTATATGTGACATAAACAGGTTGGCTACAATCGGGTACATGGAGGATCCCATTGCTAATCTGCTTGTTTGTTTGTATAATGTCCCGTTAAAAGTAAATAAGGTTGAATTTAAGCACAGTTTTAGCGATTTCATAATTAGACTGATGTTTAAAGGATATCTGCCAGATAAAGTATTGTCATTCTGTAGTAAATCACTAATAAACTTCATGCATCTATCTATAGGAATACTAGTGTATAATGAGACAATATCATAGTTTATCATGGTTTCATTCTTTTAAGTAATTAATTCCGATAGTTTCTATTTGAAGTCATAGGACTCTTCAATTATATTATGTAAGTTTTGTTGCATTGGCTTTAATATTCTGTTCAGATATTTAAATAATGCATATGTTGGCATGTTTGTAAAGTTTACTAAAGGTCCTAGTAGGAATTTGAAGTAAACCATAAAAACGTGGATTAGTGTATGATTTGGGATATGAAGTAAACCATAAAGAGACACCAGTCACTGATTTTAGTTCTTGCAAAAGTTGAATTGTCTCTGATTTCACTTTATTTTTAACCATTCAAAGATATTTTGGATCAATCTTTTGATATGCTTCTGTGGAGAGATGTTCAAAAGTTTTAGTATCATAATCCTTTTTATTCATGACTATTGTTGTATCGTTTTTGTCAGCTTTTGTGTTTACAATAGTACTGTCTTAGTTTATTTTCTTGAAATGTTAGATGTAGGGTGTTTATGTTTAGTCAATAGTTGAGATTGAAGCTATAATACCATGGAAAACCTAGAAGCACTGAACGGCCTTTTCGTCCTATTATTGTAGGACTCCTCAACAGTGCGTATCCACGATCCTGCCTCGCGAGATTCAAACCGAGGACCTATCAGTCATAAAAAGAATATCACCCTAAAGTTAGTCACAAAATGAAGGTATGATATTGTTTCAAACGAAACAATAAGGTCATGTATAATATATGCTAACACAACTATGAGAGAATCTATTTGTTCGTTTGTTATTGCTTGAATATCAGTTTGATTATTAAATAACACAATTTATATCTTCACTTAGTTTTATGCATGTGGAAAATTTAAGATAAAGGAATTTATGGGTATTTATAAGTTATTCGAAGAAGACCAGTGAATTTTTCGAGGCTTAAAACTCATATTACTCAACAATCAAAGGATATATCGACGTGTATCCAATCTATGAAAACCGATTAGAAGGTCGAAAATTAGTTGGTTAAAACAAATAATTAGTAGGATCAACTGTTCTTTTTACATCTAATATTGATAAGACATTCTGTTATGTATTTGTGAAGGAATCACTTAGTTTTAAATTATTTCGAAGTGTTTTTATGGGCTGAAAATGTTTTCAGAAAAATATTAAAAGTTATTACTAAATAAATCTTTCAACTGTATGTGAGTAGTATCAGTCCCTCATCTATCCACCGACCTAATATACAGATTACTATGATATTTTTTCTTCTTTTGTCCCACTTCCAACTAGTTTTATTACTAATAACCTTAATGAACATAAATAACTATTTTTAAAGTTTATATTGCGAAGTGATCTTACATAGGTTACAAATGTAGACCTGGACCACCGAACGATCGTTTCCTCCTAGTATAAGACTCCTCAGAAGTGCACATACACAACCAATCGAACCAACGACTCTCAGTTTCGTGATGGACCCTTAACCTTTAGACCACTAAGCCGGCAGCTAACATCGTTAATGTCTAACTTCTAACAATTCACTATACTGCTCAACGCTCATGCATTGCCTGCCTTCAATTACTGTCTCATATACTAAGACAAAATGGACGTCCAGTGTTTCCATGTTTTCAATGTTGGTCTAGTTGAGATCAACTCATGATTTAAACCTTGAAAGTTCTCACAAACTCTACAAATCCCTTAAACTAATAAATAATAATTCCCATATTCTTGGATTATTTATTTTCTTCCATAAAGTATATTACACATTATAGCTGTCGGTAAAGAGCAGTAATGATAAATAATAAATAATAACCGACAATTGTGTATTTTTCTTTAGATAAGACTTAGTCGCTATTTCCTTTCCAAGCAAAACTTCAGTTAATTTAATTAACGTTTTATCTGACATATTATGAAACCCTTTAATAGAAATTCAATTGTATTGTATTATTTCTCATGAATGAAAGTCATTCTTAGGTTGTTTTATTGGTGACATTACATTGATACAGTTATTACCGCTTTATCACAATCTTAGCAGATACCAACATTTGAACCGACTAATACTACTTCCAAATGAATTTGTGATATGTTAATGTCATAGTGTATTATTTTAAAATGCTTTACAGACGATTCGAAAATAAAATCATCTAAGAATTAAAGTGTAGTTGTAATATTCAGAGCGTACTTTATCTTAAAACTTGTATACGTTCTCTTGATCACGTTTCACCAAAATCTTTATGAATGCTATTTGACATTACACTAATGAACAGTTTGTGATTTCCATCTGGTACACAATCAGCTTTCACAATGAGGAATTTAGTTAAATTTTATCCATCGGTATACAAACCGGTCTTGTATATTTAAATGATCCGCTTCCAGGTGACTAAACACTATGTGTTTCTTTAACGCTGTGAAAACTGCTACTTAATTATATCTCATAAGAATATTTCATTCCACTGATGAATAGTAAGGCTTGATTGATATAACCTTACCATTACTTTAATAATTGGCTAGTGTACATGTGAATTTATTGGGATATCTCCAATATAAACTGTTTTTAACCAACAATATTTCATTAATGACAGTATACATTAGCTACCCTATTCCTATCTTGGTGACTAAATTTGAAAACAACATAGGATGATCATAATATTTTGCGACAAGATGTTGACCGTTTTAACTGGAGACCTTATTCTCAGTTAAAATGTCTTTTACATAACAAACAGCACAATATTATTTGTCGCTAAAGAGTCTCAGGCTAATTCGAATAAATATTTATGATATTTCATATACCCACGTCGTGAAAATTAAACAGGTTCCGAGTTTTTATCAATTTATCTTAAGTAGCCTGAAGTTTCGATCTAGTCACTTAGAATAATGGCCACACTAAGCATTAAACATACTTGACCCAAGTCGAACCCAATTGATCAATCACTTGTGACTATCTTAGTTTAAGAGGATATCAGTTGGACTTTTAATTTTTTTTACTCAGTTAACTAGATTATCTTCATTTACAAGTTTCTACATCAATTGGTATCAGTGACTCTAATTCCCATTTGCCAGAATATGTTTGTTATTCAATTAAACAATCTAATGTATTTGAAAATTAACTTCTGTTCAAGTGTTCATGTAGTTATTTACCAACAGCGTTATCATTTCTGATGCGTTTGTTTACTGTTTATTATCCAGATTTTATAAACATCACAATTGTAAATTAATTTCAAAAAGTAATTCCTAAACTTCAAATCAGAACTCATGAACAGTAGATATTAATCGTCTCAGATTTTAGGCATTTGGAAAACAGTTGAACAGAATAAAAAAATCAATAAAAATTCAAAGTACAAACCAAATTAGTAGTTTAGCGATTTAACGATCATCAAAAGACTAGAAAGTTTTTAACTCAACCTTCAATAGTAGACTCATTGCTGTGGTGATAAATGTTCTTTTAATTATCAACGAGTTGCTTAACTTATGTCCTCTTTTTTATATAAACAATGCAAATATATTTTACCTTATAAATACTAACAAATTGAGTGAGTCAAATCAATCATGTATCGTGCACAAAAGCTACTAATAAACAGAGAGCGAATGTAAAATATCCCATTCGATACACACGAACAAATGCAAATGAAGACAACCAGTGTAGCAGCAGCAGTCTCTGCATCAGTAGGCCTCAACATACACAAGGGAAAAACCAACACGCACAACACAAACCCAATCACACTTGATGGCGAAACTCTGCAAGATGTAGAATACTTCACGTACCTGAGAAGCATCATCGATGAACAATGAGGATCAGATGCAGACGTAAAGGTGAGGATTGGTAAATCAAGGGCATCAGTCCTACAATTGAATAACATATGGAACTCGAAACAACTCTCGACTAATATCAAAGTCACAATCTTCAATACGAACTTGAAGACAGTCAGTTCTACTTTACGGAGCTGAAACTTGGAGAATCACTACAACCACCATCAAGAAGGTACAAATATATATAAATTTTGTCTACGCAAGATACTCAACATCCATTGGCCAGATACCATGAGCAACAGTTTACTGTGGTAAAGAACAAACCAACTTCCAGCTGAAGAGGAAATTAGGAAAAGATGCTGGAAATGGATAGTAAATACATTACAGAAGTCACCAAACTGCAAAAGGGGGAAACAGGCGTAATCAGGTAAGTAAGTATATGGATGGTTGGCATCTACCCAAATCGGACGGTAATAATGTGACTTGACTTACGTCAAACTTATACCTCACATTAAATACCCAACAATAAATGTTTGAAGAAAAAAACAAAAATTATTTTGTTTAGAATATAACTTACTTCACTTGTACTAGGACGATAATACAATCCGGACATTAGAATCAATTCATTTAATAATGTTCCCTTTAAAATGAATCAACGTTTTTCTTATGGAGAACTCTCAATAATAATAATAATACATATACAATTGATTACAAGATAATTCAATCCTTATATAAACCAAATTAGAACTCAATAGTGAATATTCAACATTGTGTATTTAACTTAGCCGTATGTATACACATGTAGTCATATACATATATATATATATGGGAATTTTTGTTTCAAAGAAAAGGATACTATCTGTTCTCTTTGTTTTCTATGTATCATAATTCAAATAGGAACGAATTAATAATTCTATGGTGATTATCATCATCCGTTGATAATCATAATCATCATTATTACCATTATTATTATTATTATCTCTATTCATCTGTTTTGAAAAAAATAAAGAATAAATATCATAAGAGAAAAATAAACGTTTTGTTAAATAAAAATCTTTATTGAAAACTGAATTTATATATTTATATACAAAGTATTTTTGAAAAGATAATGATAAAATATTAAACGAAATCGGTTACCATGGTAACTTGTATTTTTTGTAATTTTAAAATAATTAAATAAGTTAGTAAGCATGGCATATTTTTGTAATGGTGTGTTTAAGAAAATTACAACCGATTGGTAGTTATTGATTAATTGTAGTTTGTCAGTGCAATTTGTCCATACTAATATAAATGGCATATATATATAAAGAGAGAAAGATGAAGTTGATTTTTGACAAAACGTTTAATCTGAATAATTAGATGTAAGAGGTTTTTACACAATAGAAATATCAATGGTTGAGATCATGAGTCAATTGAAACTAGATCACCATGTATAACTTGGAAGTACTGGACGACCAACACGTTCTATTGTGGGACTCCTCAGTAGTGTGCATCGACAATCCCGCAGCCTCGCGAGGTTTGAATACAGGACCTATCAGTCTCGCGCGCGAGCGCTTCACCTCTAGACCAATGAAATGGTCGGCATCCAATAGTGTTAATGTCTAACTTCAACTAATAAACGAAATTGAGTGACACATCCACCATTGTCGTCAGCGAGTTACTATCTCACATCAGACCCGGTTGAACTCAACTGGTCACTGCTTCTCACTAGAACTCCAGGATATACCTCTTGAAGCCATTTACTAGTGAGCATATGTTGATTCATATCAGAAGGGTTTTGTGGATATTATAGTAATTTCAATGGTTAAGATCATGAGTCAGTTGAAGCTAGACCACCATGGAAAACCTGGAAGCACTAGTGGTTTAGATGCAGTTGAACCATGATCTCAACGATTGAAATTACTATGATATCCACAAAACCCTTCTGATATGAAACAATAGAAATAATTAAAAAAGTAAAAAGGTGGAGGATAATCCTGTAACATCGTGAATTAGCTGAATTTAGATATGTATCTTAGTGGATTTTGGTCTAGAGGTTACGTGTTTGTATACAAAGACAAAATTCTTGGGTTCAAACTCCTAGGGTGAAAGTGCGGGTCGGACCTACCACTGAGGAGTCTTATATTGGGATGAAACAGATTTCCAGTGCTTTGTGACTAACCACAGGGGTCTAACTTTAGTTAATTCGAGATTTAAGCTATGACAGTCCTATAGTCTCCATAAACCCCGTATATTTGAGAAAAAGTGGTTAATTCTGTATGATACAACTAAGAATAGTTAAACGAAGAGCTTTTTCTATTTGACCACATCATTTACTGAACACTTGGCAGTTCAATAGATGAACATATCACCAACTTTTTCCGTGTTGCGTGAATTGCCAGAATTATTTTTCAAAATAATCTAAGCAGTTAAACGAATCGGAACGGATGGAGCATAAGTCAGAAACGTGTGCACTCCAGACACTTTGGTGAATTAATAGTTTACATATGAACTCTATGTGCCACGTTCAGTCATTCATTCGTTCCTTGAGACTACTGCCCGTGCTTGATTGTTTTTCTCTCCATATTTGCTTTATAATTCACAGTTCCTTTTTCACTACACCATTAAAATGTCTCGTAATTACCGTTCAATTTTATAGATTTCATCATGGACTACTAGTACTTCGATCCCATTTAGGGTTGTGGATGAATATTGACATTGAGGAGTTGCTTGCAAGAATCAAATAGCTGAGTAACAGATACAACATGTGTACATAAACACCTGTACAAAAAATAGGATGACAAAGACAAATATCATAAAAATTTGAAAACATTGTTGTTGGAAACGATTTACCCTGATAAACAACACTGACATATAATAATGACTAACTCTGAGAACTAATTCTCGAAGTTCAAGTGTAAAGCAATGACCAGTAGTGTTCAGTCATATTAGGAATGAGATAATAGGTGATTGTTGAGTGACATCATATGTTGATTGAAGTAATGAAATATAAAGTAATGGATGCCAACTCACTACTCTCAAGGTTACTCGATAGTTTAAAAACCTGATAGTCCAAAATTTGATTCCCAATGGGATCGTAAGAATATGGCACCAGTGAGTAGTTCCATATTAAAACAAAATAACTGTCGAATCCTACCTTGTTTTCAATAGTTTTCCAGGTAAATTCAGTCCGTGATGTAGAACATCAAATTATATTTCAAGTCATTTTAAATATACTTAACTACGGAACCTGATTTACCTAAAACATGAATGAAAATTCAATTTCTAATTTTATTACTATCTAAACAACAACATTTCAAAGCACTTTAATTATGATCTATACAAAAAAATAACTTGGTGTAAAGTAACTTATTTATCCTAACAGAATATCAGAAGTCTTTGTATATAATATATGATCTCAATATGATTGCAACCATATGTCTGTATCCATATATATATGTTCTGTTTAACTTTTAAAGCCAAAAAAAATCTACCACATTGTTTATGTTTACCTCCGGTAGCCCCCCCCTCTCTAGTCACTTAGTCTGGTACATAAATAACAGTAGTTAAATGAGAACCGTTATTAAAGGAAAATTTGTCTTTAAAAATTATTCACTATCATCCCTTATTAAAAACAAATTCCATAATAAAGATAAGGGAATGGAACGAGAAAGGTAAAAGATTATTGAAAGAGAGAAAGATTAAAAGAATATTTAAACAAAATGTTGAAGACAAATGTTACTTGAATATAAAATGTATGAAATGAAAGTGGATAAATTCAGTTGTTCTTTTTTTCTTATATAATGCTATCAATGGTGTTGATTTGTCAGTTTTATCAGACTAGACATTAATCGATATTACATTATATGGTACAAAAAAAATCTTCATCTTGACTCCTTAATAATAAATGTTCTGGTTTCAATTATACTGATCAATAATATAGTGTATACTGATTACATAATTTTGGTATTGATAAAATCACTGTTCAAATAGAAACAAACAACCATTAGTTGAATTCACTTGATAGTTTTTAACTTGTATCTTCCCATTGAGGTTTAAGACTGCATTAAGGTAATATCGAGGCATACGCACAGTATGTACATATGCCAATAACAAACT